TCATATTTTGTCCATATCCGTTAGGTCATTGATTGAAATAGAGTCTGTCATTTTGTTTCCAAACCCACAACTCTGCACGGCTCCGGTGCCCGGGCATGCCCGCATCCCCCCGGCAAGGGGGAGCCTCCGAGTTCCCCCGGAGGAGCACCATATGGCACGGGCCGACGGAATATGACATCGTCGGCACAGGCCTCCCGCCCCCTACACGCGCCCTGACCACCATCTCTGGTGGCCAGACCGCTTTCGGGGGTCCCACACCTCCGACAATGTGGGCACCGTGCAGAGCGCCGCCACGCGGGGGGCCCCATGGAAGGAGATAGTTCACCGGTGTCGCACCCCACCGGGAACGTCTCCCCCATGGCAGCCAGCGTGCTCGCGCCGCCCGAGGGTCCGCTTTAGGGTGATGCGATCGCATTCCCTCGGGCACAGCACACAGGGGCTCCGACCCCGCCTCGGAATACGTCCGAGCGGCCCGGAGCACCCCTCCACCCCCCGGGTACCGCGAGGGGTTCCAAACCCTCGCGGTGTGCAGACCCGGGTGTGGGTACCTCTCTCCGCCTGGCCGTGGCCAGGACGGATGAGGGAGAGGATCGTTCCCTTCGGCTGCCGGAGCACCGGCGTGCAATGCCTCCGGGAATGAGTCCTCTGATCGGCGCATGAGGGTGTCTCGACCCAGACCTCGGAATACGTCCGAGCGGCCCGAGACACCCCTCCACCCCCCGGGTACCGTGGGGCAAGCCCCACGGTGTGCAGACCCGGGTGTGGGTTCCTCTGTCCGTCCGACCGAGGCCGAACGGGTGAGGGAAGTCGGGGAGTCCACCTTCGAAGAAGGTGGGGTCCTCTCCCCTCGTCACCCTAGGGTGCCCCGACCCAGACCTCGGAATAAGTCCGAGCGGCCCGGGACATCCCCTCCACCCCCCAGGTACCGTGGGACTAGTCCCCACGGTGTGCAGACCCGGGTGTGGGATCCTTCGTTCGCCCAGCCGTGGCTGGGACGAGCGAGGGAGAGAGATCCTCCCCTCTTCGGCTGCCGGAGCACCGGCGTGCAATGCCTAGGAGGGTGGGATCTCTCAGGACGCGGCAGCGTACCCCGACCCCGACCTCGGAAACGTCCGAGCGGCCCGGAGTACCCCTCCGCATCTCAGGCACCACGGGGGAGGAGGATCCCCATGGGGTGGAGCCCTGGATGCGGGTACGTCCCTCCGCCCCGGTCTAACCGTAACGGTCCAACCGAGGCGGGAGGAAAGGGTTCTCTCTCCGAGGCTGCCGGAACACCGGCGTGCAATGCCTCGGAGAGAGAGGTCCCCTTCCTGGAGCGAGTGTGGAGGAGGTCATCCCTGTCGGCTGCCGGAGCACCGGCGTGCAATGCCTTCAGGGATGATGATCTCCTCCCACCCGCTCTGTGACCGTGCTGGTCATGGACCAGGCTGGTCACTCAGCCCGGTCGGGTGCTCTTGGTCCAGTCCCTCCGTACAGACCACTCCGGCTTGGTAGAACCTGCCAGGGGCCGAAACCCCCGCCGGCACAGCTCTGTACATCATCGGGACCTTCAAGCCTCCCCACCACGTCAAGGTGGCACCCACGGGGAGGGAACCTAACCTAACCTAACCTAACCTAACCTAACCTAACCTAACCTAACCTAACCTAACCTAACCTAACCTAACCTAACCTTTTTTTTTTTTTTTTGTTAAGGAGGGGAAATGCCTTACGCACACCCTGGGGCCCGTGCTGGGGGTGATCCCAGGGTAGTGTGGGGCTTGCACCCACTAAAACCCCCCCGGCCCACAGCGTGCTGAGTGCGGGGAGTCCGGGAAACACCATGCAAGACGGCACTTAGCCATCCGGACCCCCCGCCACACATGCGCGCCGCTACGCCCGACTTAGGTGGGAGAGCCGCACCTCTCCCTGCCTACCCCCGCCCCCCCCGGGTCAAACGGATGACGAACGTCGCCGTCATCCGGACCCGAAGAAGCCCCCCCCGAGGACAGCGACGATGACGACGAGGACCGCGACGACGACGAAGACGACGAAGATGACGAGACGGACGATCGACGACGACGACGACGATGACGACGATCACGACCGACGACGGACGGCGACGACGACGACACAGACGACGATGACGACGACGACGAACCCGACACCCCGGACAACGACGGCGACGAGGAAGACGAAGACAAAGGCGCGGAGCCGGGGGAGGAGGCGGACCAACTCCGGTCCCCCGATTGGGAGGTGGATGAGGGGGAAGAGCCCACGACCCAGCGGTCGGCGGCCCTCTCGCGGGCCCTCTCCGCGCTCTCCTTCGAGCCCAGCACGACCGCGGCGAATCTCGCCACGGCCGACCAGGCCCGACGGGAGCGCAGAATCTCCCGCACGACCGCTGGCAGGGACAGATCCCCGCCCATCACCCTCACCAGCTCCTCGCGCTGCACCCGCCACGACACACAGTGCTGCAGGGTGTGCTGCGCGTCGTCCCGCGCGTCTCCGCAGTGAAGACACTGCGGAGTTTGATACTTCCCGATCTTGTGTAAGAAATCCGCAAACACCCCGTGGCCCGTCAGCAACTGAGTGACGTGAAAGGTCAGGCCGCCACGATTCGGACGATCCAGCCAGAGGTTAAGCTCCGGGAGGATCGCGTCACGAACACGAACACTGGGCAGTCCCGGGGCCCGGAGCTGCAGAAGCCACTGCCGGCGAACCAGCAGCTCCTCCGCAGCCCGGGCCTCCGCGACCGCCTCGGACGTCCACAACCCGTACGGACGAAGGCCGCGAGCCCTCTCGTACATCCGGCGACGAGACGCCGCCAGGATGTCAATGGGCGGCATCCGAGCCAGGAGGGTCGCAGCCACGTACGACACCGTCCTGTACCCGGACACCACCCTCAGCGCGATCTGCCGTTGGATCCGCCTCAGGTCCACCTGGGCTCGCTGAGTTGCAGCAAAGGCTTCAACCCAAACCGGCGCCCCGTAGAGAACCACAGACATCATCACGGTTGCGTACAACCGACGCCGGGCCTCCCCGGGGCCCCGCATATTGGGCATCAGCCTGCCCAGGGCCCTCGCGATCGTCGCGACCTTCGTCCGCACGTACTCGAAGTGAAACCTGAAAGACATGCGACTGTCCAGGATCACTCCGAGATACTTCATACTATCACGAAGCTCCACATAATCGTCCCCCACACGAACAAATACCTCCACCGGTGGAGCCCGCCCTCGGGCCCTCCTCCCGTGAAACATGGCCGCCACTGTCTTGCCCGCCGACACCCTGAGTCCCAGGCCAGCGATACTCCCCACCGTGTATGTCACCTGAAAGGTCGCACGGACCGAGGCCCATTCCACGGAGGGGCCCGCAGCCAGGACCAGGGTGTCGTCCGCGTAGCAAATGACCTCGCACCCAGGCTCGAGGCGAGCGTTGAGCACGCGGTCATATACCACATTCCAGAGGAGGGGGCCGAGGACAGACCCCTGGGGGACGCCCGCCACCACGTCACGAGACCTCACACCGCCGCCGCGGACGGGAAATTCTACCGTCCTCTCGGACAGGTAGCTCCCCACCACGCGCCGGAGGTAGAGGGGGAAACCCTTCTCCCACAACGATTGCAGGATGCGCGACCGCGGCACCGAGTTGAACGCGTTCACCACGTCCAACCCGACAGCCACCGCCGCGCCCCCGCCCTGCACGGCACGAGACACAAAGTCGCGGACCCGAAGGAGGGCGTCCACCGTCGACCTACCCGCCCGAAACCCGTACTGGGAATCGGACAGGGAGGCCGACGGATGATCCGCCATCCAACGCTCCACCCGCCCCACCAGCACCCTCTCAAAGATCTTGCCGATCTCATTGAGGAGGCAGATGGGGCGGGCTCGGAGCGGCCCGGCCGGTTCCGCACCACCCTTGGGGATCAAGACGAGCCTCGCGCGCCGCCAAGCGGCTGGAAAGATGCCCTCCATGAGGCATCGATTGAATAGCCTCACGATAATCCGGGTTAAGGCCATGGGCGCCCTCCGCCAGATACCGGCGGGTATCCCATCCGGACCAGGAGCCGGATTGCCGGCCCTGGCCTTCCCCTTTAAGGCCTCCAGTACCTCCCCCTCGTCGCAGGCCCAGGAGGGATCCCACGCAAACTCTTGGCGAGGCTCGACCCAATCCCGTTCAGAAGGCCGCGGAAAGAGGGAATCCAGCATCTCTGCTAGCTCATCCTCTCCGAGGGTCTCCGTGAGAGCTGGCGACGACCGCCTAAGCCGTTTTAACACGAGCTTATACGGCAGCCCCCACGGGTCCTCCTCAACCGACCGAACCAGGTCCTCCCAAGCGCGGATCTTCGCGGCTATGATGGCCTTGCGAAGGTCCCGCTTGGCTAGGCGAAAGACGGCACAACACTCACAGTACACACGACTACCCCGACGTCTACATCTAGTGAAGCTACGTCGGGCCCGTAAACAGGCCCGACGCAGCCCGGCGATCTCCTCCGTCCACCAGTAGACGGAGGAAGCACGCCTACCACCACCAACCCTACAAAACCGGGACCTGGGAGCCGAGTCGTCGCAGGCACGAGCCATGGTCTGCGAGACCCAACCCGCCAGGCCCTCAGCAGTGGCCGCCTGGGCCTCCCCCGGGCCGAAGGCACACCGTTCCTCCAGCGAAGCAGTCAGGTCGTCCGGACGGAGCTTTGAGAAGTCCCAACGGGGATAGACCCCGCTGTGACCCTCTCCACCCCCGCCGGCCGACCCAGACGGCAAGATGCCAAACTTTATGTAAAGGTGGTCGGAGAGAGTCTCCACTCCCTCCAACACCGACCACCCCGTAACCCTGCCCGCCAACCCGGGAGACACCCAGGAGAGATCCACCACGGATACTCCCTGCGGCCGCACGCAGGTGCTGACACCACCCACATTGAGGAGGCGGAGGTCCATCTCGGCGGCCCACTCCGAGAGAACCTCCCCTCGACGGTTCTCCCGGCGGGGATCCCAAAGCCAGGACCTGGCGTTGAAATCCCCGCACAGGAGAACCCTGCGCCCCCGGAGGCCGGAGAGCGCCCCGCGCAGCCCGTCCAGCCGACCGAGGAAAGCCGCGATCCCCCCCCGCGGTGGAAAATACGCACTGACGGCGTAAAACTCGCCGCAGTCAGCGGCCACGAAGTCGCGGCCCCGATCGACCAAACGGCACCCGCCCGGCAACGCCCCCGGCCTCCAGAAGAGCGCGGAGCGGCCGCTCCCGCTGCCCAGCCAGTGCTGGGAGGCGGGAACGACCCGCGGCTCGGAGACGAAACAGAGGGCGGCGCCGAGACGGGCCGCCTCCTGGACCAGCAGGTCCTGCGCCGGCAGGGAATGATTGACATTCCCCTGCAGGAACCACACAGTTATGTCTGGCCAGGCCGAGCGGCCCCCCGAGCCGACGCCGCCCTCCCACCGCCCCCGCGCGCGGCGCACCCGGAGGAACCGAGACGGTGATTGCCGTCACGGCCACCCTCCGCGCACACCACGCACCAGGACGGCAATCCACAGTTTCGCGCGATATGCCCCGGTCGCCCACAGTTGAAGCAGGCATCGCCCCTCTCAGAGCTAGCCCGACACGCGTCCCGTACGTGGCCATATCCCCAGCACTTGAAACATTGGACGGGTCTCGCCTTCAGTAATATAACGCGGGCGGAGACCCATCCCACCCTGACACTACCCAGCCGCGCCAGCTTCAGCGCGGCGACCAGTGGGCACTGCACCCAGACCGACCCCATCCCATTGAACATTTGTCTGATGGGGCCCGTCCGGATGTCCGACACCTCGCAACCACCCTCGTCCGCCACGACTTCGGTGACCTCGCCGGTGGTCACCGAGTCGTCCAGACCGATTAATCGCAGCTCACCCCTGGCGATGGGGCGCGTGACCGTCGCGCTGTCGCCCAATACCTCCCGTAATTTGGCCGCGAGGAGGTCGGCCCTAGCGGGGCCGTCCGGACCCGGGATCTCCAGAATCCGGCCGCCGTTAGCCGCGCGCCGGATCCTCAGAGCCTCAACCCCCAATTCATTCAGGGAGACCTCCCCCCGGGCTTTCAACAAAGCCTCCGCGTAGGAGAAGGTCTCCCCCCTTCCCTTGAGCCCAACCGCCGCCGTGCGCGGAGGCCTCCGTCCGAGTCCGGGTCCGGAAGCCCCTCTTGAGGAACTCGCGCGCCGGGATCGAGACCCCCCGACAGCCACGGTCCCAGGTTTAGCTGGGGTGCCCTTCTGAGGGGGACCCCCCCTCGCTGGGGTCGCAGGTCCCCCAGGGCCCGGTACAACACCCGCACCGATCCCATCGGACAGCGCCTTTCGCTTGCGCCGCGCACGCCGCTTAGCGCTACGGCTCATGGACATTCGCCACGTCGCGCCGTCAGCCGGTATCGAGTCCAGGGCGGCAAAGGCCCCGGAGCCCCTGGAGATGACGCCGCCACTACCGGGAGGAAGCCTCCCGGACGGAGGCACCAGTTGGATGTCCTCGATGATTCGAGGAACACCCCTTCCAACCGAGGGCGAATCGATCACCCGATCCCCCGTCTGGACTCCGAGTATTCGCGGGTTACCCGCGCCATCGAAAGCGAAACGCCGGTCTGCCACAGCAGGAAGCCGCATCCCGCCAGGGCTCGCTGCCCCGCAGGAGCATTTTATTTGCCGAACGCGGTCGGACTCGCCGCGCCGACCCGCTAGCGAAGGGGGGGGACCCCATCACCGGGAGCCCCCGCATGGGTGGCCACGGCAGCCAATCCCAGTGCTTTCGCAAATGCGCCGCTACCCGACTCCGCGCACGCACCCGCGGCCACGCTCGTATGCTCCGTGTCGCTCGCATATCTATTCGCTCGCCCCCGCGCTCGCCCTCCAGCTCGGGCTTTCCCCGCGTTCCCGTTGTTCATCGTACCTAACAGGGCCGACACATCGGGCTCCACCACAACACTCTCAGCGACTCCCCTTAACGAGGGCAAGCTAAGGCCCGAGACCACCGATCCGGGTCGACCTCCGGACGCAACGGAGGCCCGTACGCCGGAGTCGCAGTTCTGCGCCGCCTCCAACTTAGCCAGGCGATCCTCCAAGCCCCGGACCCGCCTCTGCAGCTGCAGCTCCCTATCCCTGGTCTTGTCTCGGTCCTCTTTGACATCCCGCAGCTGGCGCCTCAGCCACATGAGGTCACCTTTCTGCTCCACTCTGTGGGCCAGGTCCCGGATTATTTCGGTCACAACAGCGATCTGGATCCTCATTTTACCGCTGACACCACCCTGGAGATTCTTGCTCCGGGACCTTAAATCCTCCAGGAGCCCCAGTTTATCAAGGCCCAGGGATAGGAGGGTTGTCGATTGGGCTCCGCGAATGGCTAGCAGCTCCGTATCCAGCTTCGGCAGCTCGGCCAGCTCCTCTTCTTCCTCTTCCGTGCCCTTCTCCTGCTCCCTCTTCTTCACCGCTCTTGTTATTCTCCTGGCCAGTGGGTAACGCGACCCGTCAGGAGTCTCAGTGAGGTCCACAGACGGGTCGGGATGGCTGTCTCCCGTCCCGGGCTCCGGGGAAGAGTTTACGCATTTGGCCTTCTTCTTAGGCCGTGAAGTAGCTGCCAATGCCTCCGCGGAGGTCGGTGATCTCTTTTTAAACTTCCCGTGCTTGTCCCTCTCGCGCAGGGCACGCGCCTTGCGTTGAGGCGACAGTCGGGGCGGCGATGGGGCCAAGCCAACCACGATTAGCGAGTCCTCGGAGTCCGACACTATGCGACGCGGGGGTCCCCTCCCCGAGGGCTTGATGGCCAAATCCTCTTCTTCTCCCCCGTCATCGCTCCCCTCTTCCACGAGATTTATCAGTTGTTCCCCCACCGTCTCGGGAGAAGGTGACACAATCTCCCTTAGAGGTCTTTTATTCCTCCGAGGTTTCGGCGTATCGCCGCTGTTCGGGCCCCCAGGAGGGTTCTCCTCGCTTGGCACCGCAGTCGCCGACACCTCGAAGGAGCTACTCCGACCTATAGACGGGGTGGTCATGGGGCTCCCCAGTACCGGAGGGTCCACAACCAGACCCACGTTGGCGGGTTCTCCCAGGTCATCGGTGTCCAGTACCTCGGTCCGCAACGACTCGTCCTCTCCAATCCGGACTTCGGGATCCTCCCCTCCGACCTCAAGAGGATCCCTAGCTGGGGACGCCGTCCCCTCACAACCTTCGTCAGGGGATGTTCTCTCCTCCTCCTCGAATGCCGAGTGGAAGCCCTCGGCCTCAGAGTGGACATCCGCAATGGTGGTAATAATACGACCCTCCGCAGCGCCCATGTTGTATAGCCTCTGCAAAGCAATGTGCGTGAGGGGGTGGTTTGGCGACTGGTCCACCACTCCATGACCCCCGCTCACGGGTGAGCGCGCGTCCAAGGACGGCATCCCACGGTCCCTCAAGTCAGGGCCCGTAGGCTCCTCGCTAGTTACACAGCCCGAAGGCTCAATGTTTGTTATGTTATTGTTCTCCATCTTGATCCCACGAGTTGGTCGGAAGTATTGGGGTCCGCCCCGACAGAGCCGCCTGCCGGGGTAAGGGGACTAAAATACGAGGGGGTTGCCCCAGGTGCCCCCAAGGGACCGTTCGAGACCTTCGGAATACCTGGTATATTTAACCTCCCCCGGCCATACATCCATAGGCACGGTGCCTGCACACCGTAGATTGGGAGGAGTGGGGTTGATTCGGGTACCACTACCCCTAGTTGCGTTCTTAGTAAGGGACCTACTCCTCAGGCCAATCCGGCGCGGTAGGACCCACCGGGGAGCAAGCTCCCCGCCGGCATAGCCCTGAGGGATCATTGGTACCCAAAGCTCCTTCACCACGACAAGGTGACGCACCCCGAAGGAGAACCTAACCTAACCTAACCTAACCTAACCTAACCTAACCTAACCTAACCTAACCTAACCATACTAAAAAACCTAACCTAACCTAACCTAACCTAACCTAACCCCACCAACCGACGAAAGTCGGGAAAACTAGACAAACACGGCGCAAGTCAAAACTGACTGTGCAAGGAGCAGGAAAAATAATCCTGACCAGACGGGTAGGAAGATATCAGTAGGAACTCATCCTAACTTCCACATTCCTGTCCGACTCCGACAAGTGGTCCAGAAGACCCAGAAAGAACCAAACTTCGGTCCTGTCAAATTCCAATGACAGGACGAACCTAACCGGCTGGAACCCAACTGAGGGACCAGTTTTTCCTGTCAGACAACACTGATAGGACAAACCTGACCAGTCAGGATCCTGTGAGAGGATCCTGTCCCACCTGTCAAAACTTTGCGACAGGCGGACAACTGGTATGACAGGACCCAACTCAGGGCCCAGTATAAACCTGTCAAATACCAATGACAGGGCGGCAGGAACCAGCAAGGAGCAAACCAAGGCTCCAGCACTCCTGTACAAGTCCAAGGACTGGATAACCACAAACCTGGGAACCATCATCCACGGGCCCAGCTTCAGACAACCAACTGGTCGTCAGGTATCCGAAGGGACCATCAACTGGCCCAGTATATCCTGTATGAAACCATTTATAGGCGCCTGAGCCCCATGAAGAGACATCCACTGGAAAGCGTGGAGTAAGGGGATGACGCATATTTGATAAACGCGAATTGAAGAACCAGACGCGAAAACTGGCACACAGGTCTGAACCCCTTAAGGGTCGAAATCTGGAGAAAATCTCCCATCACGATCCTACCACTGGGGTTACACGCACATACGATAAAAACACTCACTTAGCGCACCGATGAGTACTGCGAGACGCGCTCTCGATTTAGACCATCGTGCGTATGACTTAACACTGCCTAGACGGTGTTCCCGAGCGTTTACGAACGCCTAGGCTTAAGCTACTGAACCGCGTGGCTCAGCGTATACGCCATCCGAGCGGTTCCTAATATTAAGCGTTTTTATTGTTTGCGTTAGCTATGCGATTTTCCGAGTAGTTAGGAACTTATGTTTAAGTTATCGCAGCGTACTGGAACATGAAAGCGACACGAGATGCTTGTATAAGTGTAACTCTAAAAGAGGTGAAAAAGGTCCACCGTCGTTATCCATTAACTGGATCTTATAACCAAAATACCCCTGCGAGCAGCAAACGACAGGGTCCAAAAGCGTCTCGGGTCGTCATAGCAACCGGCTGGCGGCTGTGACTGGCTCGAAAGCGTCGAGGGTCGTCATAGCAACCCGCCATGTTGCCCGAGCGGTCACGTGGCCTCACGGTACAAAGGGGACTGCGTGACGAGGCTCGAGGAGAGTCGGACAGCGGCAACCGCCGCGTGCAGACCGAACCCGTGCCGCTTATACTCGCGCCGGTGATCGCGTAGTTGCGTCATCCTGTGTAATTGCGCGTAGTGATTAGTGCTTGTACCGACGTGCCTTTACGGATTAGCCGCCATCCCAAGGGGTACGAGACACCGCTGACGGAGGGATTTAGCCCGCGCAGCAGCTCTCAAGAGCTACCTCTACCCCCAGGTAGCGGTAAGCGCGGCGTAGCCGTCTTAACTATCCGGGCCGTTAATTAGCACCGCGGTATCGCGTGGTCTCTGTGTCCTCCTCCCGGCGCGTACCGCGTTCAGTGCGATTGCGTAGCGTCGTTATCATCGCGGACCTCCGTCGCGAGCTGGCGTGAACGTGTCGCGACAGGAACGCCGCCATCTTGTCCTCGTATTATACGAGGAGGCGGCCATCTTGGACTCGTATCGTACGAGGGAGCCGCCATCTTGGCTACGTCGCGGTGGAAGAAGCCGCCATGTTGGGCGAGCTGTCAATCAAACGTCCGCCATCTTGAATCAGCGACCGGAATATGCTTTGTCCGCGTGTAGAGTATAGATAGCTCATACTATAGCGTTCACCGTAGCGTAGAGACACACACTATAGCGAGCCGACCTTAGTGTACGTCACTGGTCTTGTAATATTTTTTATAATAAATTTATATTTTTTAACTGTCTGGTCTATTCGATCCGGGAACTCAGTGCCTCCTAGTTCGCCGAACGAACCAGCCGATCCCAGTCTTTTTCGGAATTTTACCTGTTTTTCTGAGTTTTTCCAGAATTTGTCCGTGACTGGTAACTCGTTTGTAGTCTCTTGTTGTTCCTACGTGAATATCTAACTCTATAGCGTCTCGCGAAATCGCAGCAACCCAGTCGGTTCGCGAGTTATACTTAAATTGTAACTTTAAGCTACCAGTCTAGTTCCAACTACTGGTGGCCGGTATGAATACCGGAGCCCTCTGCTCATTTCGTAACACCACCTACTGGTGATAAACGCTACAGGTCAATCCGTTTTCTCACGTGTACCGCGTGTTGCCACCCACTGGCCATCAGCCCGGACCCTAAGTCCACAGGCTTACGCGGACGACCATACACCGGACGATGATAGTACGTCCTATACAACTGTACGGTTCAGTGACCGTACCTGCACTTCGGAAAGTGGAATAAGTGGATATTTCCACTTTGTTGGAATCCACTGGGTGTCGCTGCCCATTCCTATAACAGCGACTGGCGACCGTATAGGAGGAGATGTGAGCGAGGACCAGTTCGAAGCCGATCACTGGGTCAAGTTACCAACTTTTGGAAGTCACTGGTCAGGGCCGCCGGGGGAGCCCCTTTTTATGGGTCAATCGAAACCCGGTCACAACCTAACCATACTAAAAAAAACCTAACCTAACCATACTAAACCTAACCATACCAAAGCCATACCAAAACCTAACCTAACCATACCATACCATACCAAAACCATACCATACCATACCATACCATACCATACCAAAACCATACCATACCATACCATACCCCGGTCGAAGTACCATACGACCATAATAGGATTGAGCTCGCAAAAATTTTCTGGGCCGTCGTACCCCGGTCACAATCTAGCCATAAACAACGGTCCGAATATAGTCTGATTACCATTTAGGACCTGACTAGCCATTCGAGTATCAGCCGAGTTCCATATAAGTCCTGACCAACCATTGGAACATCGTTCGATTACCATCTAGGATCTAACCAGCCATCCGGATATCTCCGAGGTACGATCTAGGTCCTGACCTACTATCTAAAGAGGTGATACCATCCGGGAGCCACATAGGTACACCATCGTGGTTACGGGACAAGTCCACCAAGGCAGACCACTTAGAGGACCACGAAGGAGACCACATAGGATCACAAGAAGAATCCCGTATAAGTCACCGCATAGGTCCATGTAGGTTGACCACTCAGGGAACCAATTAAGACCATAAGAGCCACATAGGTAGTCGATTTAGCGAGGTGCCACATAGGTACCACCTAAGAACCATATAGGTCAAAATTAAGTTATTTATAAATTATTGATGTGCGCTGCGTTCTTAACACTGTGGCATTGGAATTTTTATTATTTACAGGTCTAGTTTTGTTTTAGCCACATTTTGTAAAACGTACTTTTGCGCATATATACCTTGTCCGATAAGGTATCCGTCGCCACGAGCCGATTTATTATATTGTTTTTAGTTTAAGAACTATAAAGAATTTTGTGTTTTATATAAAAGCGGGCGACGCATCATGATAGCTACGGTCCTGACGCGAGCATGACAAAGACGTATACAGTGCGTGCCGCGTCCGACTATAGAGCGGACGTGCGGACAAAGGAGGCGCGTAGTGGGGATAACAGTCCGTGGGAAGCGGCGGATCCCGAGGGGGAGAGGAAACGGCCGTAGCGAGCGGCGCAGTAGAGAGCCCTTCCGGGGATAGTTGATTGCGAGACGGCGCAAGCCTCCCGTAAGTACCAGAAATTCCTCGAGCGTGATCGTAAGTTCGTCTATTTCCATTCCGACGTGCTACGCGTAATTGTATAGTGAATCGCGCCATAGATTTATACGTCTACGAGATTGTACCATATAGGTATTCGCGGTCAGTAATACTCGCTAGTGAATAATGTTCACGACTCTGTGACTCCAACGTTCGGGATACGAGAATTGATAAAGGCCTAAAGCGGTTATTTAAGACGCGCGTCGTTAAAGAAGCTTGATGAACGGAAGTCTGATATTTTATATATTCCGCAAATACGTCTTAGACCATACGACCACATAGGTCAGCGCGAAGGGCGTGGCCCATTCGAACCGACGTAGCTAGTAACAACAATAATAACTATTATTTCAGGGTAGAGTATAAGAGCGTTATTGTATTTTATAAATATATATGTGATATTGTTTGTTTAACATTTATTCGAGATATACATACGTACCCATCATACCTATCCTCCGTTCGTACACGATCGTATTCCATATAGGTTCCGACTGTAGTAAGGAATCCGTCCAGCGAAGCGAACCAGCATTTCATATAGATTTCTTTGATATTAATTCAAACCGAAGGTTTCCTTATTAATCCAAAAAATAAGGTGGCGACCGATAATAAAAGGTGCGTCGGGGGCAAAGCTGAGGCGCGGAACTCGAGACAGACAATTTTAACCAAAAATTTTTCAATTTGTCCATAAATATTAGCTC